AAGGTATATGGCCCACAGGCAACTCTCAATGCCATCCAAGCAAGATCCTTCCTAGTCCTTTCCTTTGGTACTCTAAGTAAGGGAGGAAGAAGGAAAGCTGATGGACGCCACCATTTGCTCTGACAGATGCTCTGCCAACTATCTGTGTTTCTTCAGGATCGCCCTCCCAGGAATCTCTGGGGGCTTCTCCAACCTCCTCCCACTTGCACACATCCCACCAGCAGAGGGATCTCCCAAGTGTAAAGGAATGATGCCTGAAAAGTTGAGCAGCAAGGCTCTGTGCTTGGCTACCTGTGGAAGCATCTCGTAACTCCAATTAAGACCCATGGCTAGGGATATCTGGAGAGTACATATGCTCTTGTGTGCTGAGATCGTCATATCGCATTACACCCCTGAGTTTTTAAATGCTGATTCTTTCATTATTTACGAAAGCAAATTTGTTCAGACACTGAGATGGGCTCTCCCAGAAAAAGTGGGGGGTGGGGGGGAGGGCACGGTGGTTAAACATCCAGGGAAAAAGAATGATCTGGAAAAAGAAGTCCTTAACTTCACGTTGTTGACAAGAGATTGAAGGACACAACAGGGATCCATGAACCACTGAAGGTCCCCATCTGTTAGCTGAATGAACAAGTAATAATAATCAGAGCCAACATTAAAATGGCACCTACTATTTGCTGGGCATGACTCTAACCACTTTATATATATTATGTATTTAGCCCTCAAAATAGTGGATAAAATAGGTGCCCTTATGATTTTTTAAAGATGAGTTAACTGAGGGGCGCCTGGCTGGCTCAGTCGGTAGAGCCTGAGACTCTTGATCTCAGAGTCACGCATTCCAGCCCGATACTGGGTTTAGAGATCACTTTTTAAAAATGAGCTAATGAGGCACAAAGAGTTAAGTAAGTTGTGCAAGGTAATACAGGGAGTACCTTCCATTTACAGTGTACTTTTCTATGTTTAGGCAGTGCGCTGTCTTTTATAACAAGTCTTAAGTTTCCCATACAATATGTTACCAAATAAATGTTATCTCTTCAAACATCGATATTTCTTGAACAAGTACAGAAAGCATTCATAAACCTGAATATAGCTTAATTAGTTAATGTCACCATCTCAAGATAAATTTGATCTTATATATTCTTAGATTCCACTAATTTTATACCATACTATGAGATTCAAAACAGAATTAGCTTTTACTCTTAAAATATTATTAGTGCACCATCTTGAATATGTTAATCAATAAAATAGATTCTGCAAGTAGGTAGAAGGGTAAATGCATGTTAATTACTCGGAATGTCTTAATTAACTCCTACTGCTAATGACACAGCAATTAAGGTTTAAGTATGTTTAGAGGATATATCAGTATTCTACCAGGTTATGTTGCTGAACATCACTAAAATCCAAAGGAATAGGAGTTTTAGACTCAAGTTCTCAAAGACCTCTAATACTAAGGAGAAAAACAAGTAAAACTAAAGTTTAGACTCTTTGCAGCACGAGGCCCCCCTCCCCCCCACACACACCTGTTTCCTGGTTAGCTGCTCCTTTCCCTTCTTTGTCTCCATATCCCTCTGAGCACCAGGAAGTACCTCATGGTAGTAATCACTTCTGAAAGTGCTTGAGGGTATTGAGGGTATGCATCAAGCATCACTCCATACATTTTTTTTTTAAAGCTTTCTTTATTTCTGAGCGCTGGGAGGGAAGTTAGGATGGTGCTTGGTGACCTATCTGGGCTTAACAAGTACTTAATGCAGAGACCAGGGTAGGTAGAGCTATTTTTAGAAGCTATCTCCTATTGTGAATTAAAGACAGGCACTCTCTTTGAAAGGACAGACTCCAAAGGTGAAGTCTATTTTCCCTTCTCTTGAATGTGGGCTGGCGCTGTGACTTCCTTTAATCAAGAGAATACAGCATACATGAAACTGTGTTACTTCCAAGATTGGGCCTTAAGAGATCACAGCACTTGGACCTCAACCAGCATACTATGAAAACTCCAAGTCACACGGAAAGAGAACTGAGGCACCAGTTGACAGCCCCAGCTGCCTTCCAGCCAACAGCCAGCACCAAGAACAAGTCATATGAGTGAGCCATCCTGGATTGGAGCATCTTACTCAAACCTCTGGATGGCTATGGCTCCTGGCTGACACCACATATGGAGAGGAACCTTCCAGCTGACCTCAATCAACCCAGGCTCTGAAGAGATCATAACTGATTGTCATTCAAACTAATAAGTATTTGAGAGGGTTTGTTACACAACAATAAATAGTCAAAAACTTTCTAGACCATCTTAGAGACCCAGGCTAATACCAGTTCCTGAGTGACTCAGCTTTGCACAGCACAAGCCATGATAGGGCCAGAAATGGCTCTAATGGAATTGAGAACACTTTCTAATATGGGGCATGGAGGCTAAGACCATGGACCTGAACAAATGTGAATCCTGGCCTTGTCCTTGACTAGATACATACCCAGGAGAAGTTAGGTAACTTTTCTGTGTCTGTCTCAGTTTCCATTTGTGTAAAATAGTGATCATACTATTCCCTACCTCACAGGTTTGTTATGAAGATTAAACATCAGTATCAGCATATGTAAAGCACTTAGAACAGTGCCTTGCACAGAGTAAGTATTCAGCAAATATTCTCTATTAATATTATTATTTATTCTCTCTTCTATTCTACATCCAAGGAACCACCCACTCACAGCTGTGGAGGTCTCTATACTTAGGACAGAGGGATAGGGAAAGTGATGGGGGGGTTGCCAAAACATACTTCCTGTTGGATCCTACACCATGAAGAAATGGATTTCTGCCGGGTCATAAAAGCATGAATGTGATAAATGTGACATCTGATCGGCCTCACACCAGCAAGGGAGAAAACCAAAAATCAGAGTAAATGCTCAGTTTGTAGGTGATCCAGAACAGAAATGTCAGACAATTAATAAAACTTTATCTGAGAATAAATTGCTCCTAGGTAGAAGAATCCACACTGTAGGAAACTTATAACTGATTTCCACTCATTAGGAGTACTGAGTTTTTATACATATAACACAGTCCTGGAAAGTTACTTTCTTGGGCATGATCTAAGCTATCATCATCACACTCATATCAACTTTGTTTCTGAATATTATTTTCTAATTCACTCTAACAAACAGGTCACCTTACAGATCAGGGTAGTATTTGCATATGTCATAATAAAATTAATTCTAGTGTATTAGTGACACTGGGTTAGTTTTGGGGTTTGGGTATTTTTTTTTTATTTTTTGGTCATATCATACACACACTTTGGGGAACTGCTTTTGTTAAAATGATGTTGAATGATTTGTTTTATGAATGAAGCAAAACATAGTAGCAATCAATTCATTTTGCTATAGAATTAGTAAACAGTACTTTTTCCACCAGCTCTTTATCTCTTCTCTATTTTAAAATTATATCAAAGACCTATTTCTGTTTACTTCAAAATGAATCATCCCACATGAGTTAATATATGGTAGCCATAAGTTTCTGAAATACTTAGCATTCTACTTGAGCTCTAGAACATCTGGCCATAGTGCTTCTCATGGGACTTTTCACTGGAGTTCCAAATTCCCCCTTTCTCATCTCCCCATGTTTCTAGTCATAGAATTATTGTACATCCACTGATACTACTCTTACCCTTATATCCATACATGATTCCATCTGTTTCTCAGGACAACTACGATAGATCCATAAATTGTTACCCAGGTAGTTCAATCAGTTAGAGGCTCTGGGAACACGTGTCAGGTTTGTGCCTATCTTCAGCATGATAGCATCACTTATCCACATTAGTTCTTCTTCTTCTCTCCAAATTATTTATAAGCCTTTGGTCAACTTGAAAAAATCCACATTTTCATCTCATGCCTGCTAATCATGCTTTAAATGATGACTATCAAAGATGCAAATTAATTGCAAACCATACGAAGGATGCGCAAATTAAAATCTATGAAATTTAAATTATTAATGCAGTAGTAATTCAGCTTTCAGGTTCCCTCTGCAATCCCTAACAGTTTCACCTATTTACATTGCTCAATGCAAATTACATTGGTTAATTTAAACAGAAACAAGGGATACCAGATTTTATGACTTTCTTCCCCTCCTAACTTTTCGATCCCCTTCCGCCCTTCCTTCTACTGTGTACTTCGTCTCTGTTTTGAACCTACTCTTTCATGTCTGCTTAACTTCAGCCCCACGTCACCACCAGATCTCATCAAGTATACACTATTCTGCTTTAATATGTCATTCTTAATATTTTGAATTTTACATCCCACCAGTCTATTCAAAGAATCTGAATCAGTTTCACCATGAAAAAAAACCAAAGCCTATTTTTCCAAGGGCATTTGTAGGGTTATGGGTATTGTGTTTTATGTGATCATACACAAAAAGTTTAAGAATACACACAATTTCAGTGGTATTATTGAGAGTAACTGTTGGAAATACTTCTGCATCCACTATGTAGTTGAACACAGCAAATGAAAGTAGCCAAATCTTCCAAACGCATCACATGAAAAAGAGCCTAGTTAAGTGAAAAAAGTTTTCAGATTAAAACTAATAGATTTAACTGAAGTTTCCAGACTAGTAAAGTTCAGCTTTACTTGCATGTGTCTCCCATTAATGGAGCCCATCCTGGGCTTCAGTGCATAATTAACAAGAATATTATTAAAATAAATTGTGTAATATTTCTAATTAATAACTAGTTTAATTGAAGTATAAGACAGTTTACCAACTTGCCCCAAACAAAGATGGGCATAAGTTTATCAAAAAGTAACAAACTAATAAAGGAAACCACTTGAATAAGATGTCTCTTTAGTTTCCCAGATAAAAATGTCACAGATTTCTCCAAGCACAACTCAACAAATTCTAAATCTTGGCTTTATTGTATTTGCATAAAATGTTTTTAAGTAGCATATGTAAATATCCTTAGTAGTAACTGAACTCAAGTGCACACATGGTTAGCAAAATCATTTCAGGGTAAAAAAAAAATGTCATGGATGTTTACCTGGCAAGGCTGTTTCATTTTAATGGCTATGACATGGTATCTGTAACAGCAGAGCTCACAGGTCCAGGAACCCCTCTCACTGATCCACTTCAGCAGGCACAGCTGATGTGTATACCGAACTGACCCATCACAGCGGCAGGGGTTTAATAATTCCCCCTGAAAAGAACACAGCCCATGTGAATATTTATGCTCGTGTCTCTATTTAAAAAAAAAAAACAAAAAACTAACACTTGCTTTCTTTTCTTTCAAAGCCATTTACCCAGAAGCATACAAGCATCAAACTATCCGAGAAAATAAAATTAAATTTTTATACCTCTGATGGGAATGAAACTGAAGTCTTAAAACTATTTCAAAGGTATTGCTGAGAGTTATGACATAAATGTTCTACCAACATACAAAATGTCTGCAAGATATAGCTCCCAATACCCTTGGGGGAAATCTGTACTATGAAATCTCTTTAATAACTTTTAAGTGGATGGTCAGATGCATTTCCTCTGCAGTTATTCTTAATCATCGCTAAAGAAGAAATGCATGGCATCCCAGAAAGTAGCTTGCAGTAGCATTATGCTTTTATTTTTTTCTAAATGTAGCATCATAAATATTGACTTAGGGCACTATATTCCTGAAAGCCTGCATATTCTTACGCAATTTCCTTACCTTTAAAAATATTAAACCTAATGTTTTCTCAGACCACACATTTTGTAAGGGATAAGTTATCCTGTTGTCTCCATGATTACTCCCATATAAGTTTGCACGCACCTCTAATGGAGTTTTTAATTTTAGTTTTTAATTTATGTTTCTAACAAAATACAAAATACATTGTTAGCTAAATAGGCTTTCTTTCACAAGGTCAAAATACATTCCTATTTCTCTTGTAAAAACTTTAACACGCTCTTCACATCAGTGAGATTAAGTCAACATAACTTGCAATATGTAAAGACCCTGCCCTTTTTGGTTTTGGCATGACTCATCCCCAGTTTGTATTCTAAGACTATCTACCTCAGGATACGTTTGTAGAAAAGGGGACATAGGTTTGTTTCTAAAATCCATTTAGCAATTCACAAAAGAGATACTTAGGGCATGATCTTGAAAGCACCTGAGGAATGCGTAACTGCAAAACCAGGTAGGAAAAAAAAAAATAAGTGTAGATCAAATTAAACCCTGCATTCGCCACCGGGACATTTTCATCTGCCTTCACAGCAAAGGAAAAGGGAACCCAAGTAGCAGCCGCTCAGTTGGCCGGACCAGACCAGCCGGGTGGCGAGGAAGCGGGAGGCGAGCTCTGTCCGTGGTGCTGAAAGGTCGATCCTCCCGGGCAGAAGCGGGTCCAGTCCCGACCAGAGCCCACCGCCAGCTGCTCCGAGGTCCCCCAGGGCCTTACCTGCTCCGCGCCCTGGAAGCAGATCTTGCAGATGGGCTGGTGGTGCTGGTGCTGGTGCCCGGCGCGCTGGTCGCCACCACCGCTGCTACTGCTGCGGCTGCTACACACCGAGCGCGTCTCGGGCTGGTCGCCGGCGCCCCGCCGCTCGCCCTCCCCGCCCGCGCCGGCCTCAGGCTCCCCGGGGACGCCCTTCCCAGCCGCCGCCGCCTCAGGGACCGCCGCCTCCGGAAGGCGCCTCGGACCTTCCCCGGAGTCGCCAGCCGCCGACACCTCCTGGCCCGCGGGCGGTAGGGGCGCCGGCGGCGGCGGCGGCAGCTCGTCCGCGCCCCGGCGCCGCGGGACCACCTCCTTCGGCGGTTCGTCTGGTCCCGCGGCGCGCTCGGGGGACGCGGGCGGCGCGGGCAGCGGTGGCAGGTAGCGTGGGGGCTCGGGGACCGAGGCCGGCTCTCCCGGCGGCGGCGGCGACGGCGGCGGCGCCCACTCTCCGCCCCGCGGCGCAGACTGCCGCTGAGGCCGACCTCAAAGCTCATGGTGGTGTCGCTGCCGCCCTCCTGCCAGCCCAGCTGGCTGGCCGGGCTCGGGCAGTAGCCGAAGGGAGAACGGAGGGGGCGGGAGGACAGAGGAAGGAGTGCAGGGAGGGAGGATGGGAAGGGGGACCGGGGCGCCAGGGGCTGGGGGGCGGGACGGGGAGGAGACGCGGAGGACCCGGCGGCGGCGGCAGTAGCGGCTGCTCAGCGGAGCCGCCGGCTCGGCTCTGATGGAGGCGGCGCCGAATTCGGCTGCGCGTGAGAGCCGCGCCGCGGGGGGGGCGGGGGGCGGGGGGCGGGAGATGGGGAGGGGGAACCGGAGCAGCGCCGCGGGGGGGTGGTGGGCGGGGGAAGGAGGTGGAGGGAGCGGGCGCGGGGCCGACGGGGAGGAGCGGAGGGGGCGTTCCGGGGGGGTGGATGTGGAGGCAGCGGGTGCGAACCCTGGCTGGGGTGAGGAGACCTCGGGCCGGAATTCAGGGAGGGGAGATCCCCAAGCCACCTCCACGGACCCCGCCCCGGGGCAGCTCACGTCGGTTCCGGGGCGGACTACCCCTTTCCAAACGGCGCGGCACTGCGGCTCTCGGGAGTCTGGAGAGGGGGGAGGGGTCTGAGGCCATGGGTCCAGAAACCGTTACTGGGAAGGCAAGTGGGATGCGGCAGCGCGGGGCTGGGTGGGGCCGGGATGGTCGAACCCGAGACCCGCGTGGGAGTTGGGGGGCTCAGGCTGGTGCCCTGGGCTCGCTGGAGCCGGTTGAGCAGGGGTCAGGAAGAGGTGCGCGAGCCCTGGGCACTGTAACCGCCACTGCCCGGCGATTGCTCCCAGCCCTCTCAGAACCTTGTCCCTCAAGGGCACTCTCATGGATCCACCAGAGCCCTAAAGACCGAAGCCTCTGGAACCTATAGCCTCCCTCTGTCCGTCTCGCCCCTGAATCTTCCCCGTGTCCTCCTCGCCCCCTCCCTCCTGCAGTGAGTATCCGGCTTATTTGTAAATATCTTGGTGACATTGTCACTCTCTTGGGTCATTTCCTGGAATGGTTCCTCCCAGTGAACCCTGGGGCCACGTTGTGTGGTGGGTGATCACTTTCATCCTTGTCCTTTTATAAAGGGCTCGAATGACACCTCTCCTCCCGGAGAAGTGGCTGTGTCCTCAGGTCGTGATTTTAAGCACCCAAAGCCAGTTTTCTGTACCTCCACTCCGCAAAACCTCTCTGGGACTGCTCTTTGGGCAGGGCAAATTTCCCCTGTTCTTTTCTGAAAATAAACTGCCATACCTGCAGGGAGCTGGACGGAAAAGAGTGCACATGCAGGGTGGTTTCCAAATCCGTTCAGTGTAAACTCACGAAGCATTGGATTTATATAGTGCAATGTGCCTATCCAAATCAATGGTGATTTTCACTATTCTAACAATTTAACATCTTCGGCACAATCGACTCTCTCTGGGCAGGCATTTTGGGCTGTATTTCATAGCTGAAGACCCAGGATCAGATAGGCAAAGTAACTTGTTCAAGGTCACCGGACTATTAACAAAGAACTTTTGAGCTCCCTGACTTCAGATTTTCCGGCTCAAACACCCAGTGATTTTTTTTTTTTCCAATGTCTCCTAAAACAGTATGTTTGATGGTGCTGACTCCCATTAATAGATGCTCTGAAACGACTGAGGTAAACTACCAGCTTAAATTAATTTGTCCATTACACATTTTAGCAGTAAAAAGTATATATGGTTAAAAAAAAAACAAAAAACAGTCCCAGCTCTTTTGATATAAACTGGTTTGACTGCAAAGCACAGAAAGAAGGTAGTAAAAAAGAGTTCAGAAATGCTTTGTCACACACAAATGGTCCTGAATGAAATAGTTCCCAGGAATGTCCTCTAACACTTAGCCCTCCTCAGACTAGCTTATTTTTGGTAGTAGAGTGGCAGGCAGCAAGCATATTTTTAAAATAATAATCCCTGAATGCTCTTGGAACTTATCACGTTGAAGAAATGTGGTTGTAAGATATGCTCTCATTTTCAGTCTGCACCTGTCAAACTGACATTGCCACATTTGTATACTGCCACAGTCTTATGGTAGTCAGAAGCCTTGATCCTAAGTTATTGAATTAAAAGCTATCTGAATTGTCTTTTAAAAAACCCCTAAATAATTCAATTTATAACAAGTAAATTTCTACCCAGTGTGATAAAGTCCATTATTATTTGAAGGACAGCATAAAAGCTGTGGATTCTGTATAAAAACAATGTGGAACAATTCAAACAGCAGAGTAGCATGGATAAAGGAGGAAAGAGCCACAGTGCTAGATGTGTCCTCTTGGTTGATTGTTTCTGAAAAATAATTTCAGTAAGAGAAAATTAACTTTCATTGATACAGTGAGCAGCCACATAAGAACATTATTTTTTCCATTTTCTATGACCTTCCCTGAAAAAGGAAAATTTATTTGTTCGTGATCCTTCTTCAGTTAACTCAGTGAATCTTAGATGGATCAAGGAAAAAATACCTTCGTAACTTTGAAGCATTCTCTGCTGTAAAAATATAGAACATTGGGGAACACAGAAAGGATGAACCACTCTAGTTGCTGGCATCCAAGTGAAAGAGATGATAGAGACACAGACATCTGATAACATCAGGGCACCAGCAGCCACTGCCAGGCATCCAGTAGCCAAAATGCATCTACCAACTGAAAAATGAATGAGGGGAGAGGCAATTCTATCAATTTCAGCAAATACTGAAAGGCACATCCAACCTGCTTCAACCTATATAGAGAAGAAAGCTATAAATAACGTAACAAATGCTTGAAATCTCCCTTATGTCTCCCTCGCCTCACGCACACGCAGAGTGAAATGTACCCTTCACCAAAACAGGTCTTTCATTATGAAGTTGCAGACCCTTTAGATACCAGCAGTTCTTGAGCTGAATCCAAGAATGAAGGAGAGATTAGGAAGGGACCAGGCAAGTATGTCCCAAAAAGTCACTTGGTGATATTAGTGGATATCTTTAGGAATTCTTTTTGAACTTCCCTTGTTACCACATCCTGAATCTGTCATCTCAGGTCACTTTAGGGATTTTAGATAGAAAACAATTCAGGCTACACTTAGGTCAGAATGCTTTCAGAATGACCTTGAAGCTAGATTATGTGTGATGACCTTGAAATGCCCTTCAATAGGAGGATTAGCCATAGGAGAGTTAGCCTGGAGAGCACTTCAGAATTGCTTTTCAATTCTTTTAAGTTAAATTCTTCAAGCTGTTCCACAATTGTACCCTTGGCACCTTTGGGGTGCACTAATTTGTTTTAGGGGGTTTAGCTTTCCTTCAAATTCCTTCTGTAGTTTTTATTTAAATCCTGACATTTAGTTTAAGATAGTCTTGCATTTTCACAAAATTATTTAATGGAGACATTGTTTTCTTTCCCAAACTGATGACAAATGTTTTTTAAGCCATAGACTATGCCATATTTGTAAATATAAATTCATAGCAAATATTCATTATACATATTAAATAATTTAGTGATTAAAAGATGAATAAATATATGCAGGGACACATGGTAGTGGTTACATATTTTTGATGTATTTTTTTTTTTAGATTTTATTTATTTATCTGACAGAGAGAGGCACAGTGAGAGAAGGAACACAAGCAGGGGGAGTGGGAGAGGGAGAAGCAGGCTTCCCGCTGAGCAGGGAGCCCAATGCAGGGCTCGATCCCAGGACTCTGGGATCATGACCTGAGCCGAAGGCAGACGCTTATCGACTGAGCCACCCGGGTGCCCCTAGTGGTTACATATTTTTGAAAAATGTTTTAGAGAATATTTACTTGGATGGGGTGCACTAATTTGTCTCTGTGGTCACTGAGTACAATACACAGAATTCTCAATTGTTTTCAAATATCTAAGAGAAAAGAACTCTGTTATAGAGCAATTAGGTTATGCTGTATGGGTAGGAGGGTGATTTTTTTAAAGAGGATAGTGAAGTGCTATCTGTATTGTGAGTATTCAGTGCAGAGTGTAGCTTTGTTGTACATCAGTACTAAAATAGTGTCAGTATCCTACAACACAATGATGTGTGCAGAGCAGTCCACAATTTATATCTCCTAGTCTAACCTCTCCATTGAACTTCAGAATCACGAATCAAAGTGTCTTCTTGACTGCTCTACTTAGATGCCAAAGAGTCACTTCAAACTAACCCAGTCCAAAAGCAAACAACATCCCAAACCTGCTCATTTCCCAATCTGCATTATGCTAGTAAGCTAGTCGTTTGTTCATCCAGTTACTTAAGCCAAAATCCTTGGAGTCATCCTTGACTTTAATTTTTCACATCATACATTCAGTGTATCAAAAAATTCTTTCAGATGTACTTTCAAAATATACTGCAAATTTTACTACTACTTTTCACCACCCCACCATCCAATTCAAACCACCAGCATGGTGCTCCAGGAAGATCAAAGTAGCCTCTCGTCACCCTGCTTCTTACTCCTGAATCCATCCCCTCTAGCAGCAGAATGATCCAATTCAAATGTAAGCCCACCTACCCAGTACCCACCAATGGCTTCCCATCATACTTTGTGCAGTATCAAGAATCTTAGCATGCCCTACAAGTCTTCAGTCTAGCCTCTGGATACATCTCCAAGACATATCCATATCTTCCCTGCCACCCCAACCCCCTCCCTGTTACTCATTCCTACTACACTGAGCTCCCAAGCTTATGATTTCCCAAGTACACTCCCTCTTCACTACTCTTTCCAGTCATTTTGGCTCTCTCTCTCACTTCACTCAGATCACTGCTCAGGGGCACCTCATCAGAAAGACCTTCCTTAAGCTTCCTATCGGAAATAGAATATTCCACCGCCATTTTAACTATAACCCTTGCCCAGTTTTCTTCTTTTTCATATCACTACTCAACATTATATGTAAGCATACCTTGTATTGCACTTCACTGTGCTTCACAAATCTTGTGTTTTTTTTACAAACTGAAGGGTTGTGGCAACCCTGCATTGAGCAAGTTTATTGGCATCATTTTTCCAACAGCATTAGCGTTTTTGTCACATTTTGGTAATTCTCACAGTATTTTGAACTTTTTTTTTTTAAGATTTAATTTATTTATTTGTCAAAGAGAGAGAGCACAAGCAGGGGGCGCAGCAGGCAGAGGGAGAAGCAGGCTCCCCACTGAGCAAGGAGCCCGATGCGGGACTCTATCCCAGGACCCTGGGATCATGGCCTGAGCTGAAGGCAGTCGCTTAACTAACTGAGCCACCCAGGCATCCCTGAACTTTTTTTTAATCATTGTTATATTTGTCATGGTGATCAGTGATTACAACTCACTGAAAGCTCAGATGATGGTTAGCATTGTTGAGCAATAAAGTATTTTTTAATTAAGGTATGTACTTTTTTTTTAGACATAATGCTATTGCATGCTTAATAGACCACAGTATAGTGTAAACGTAACTACTATATGCACTGGGAAACCAAAAAACTCATTAGGCTTACTGTATTGTAATATTTGCTTTATTATGGTGGTCCGGAACCAAACCCACGATATCTCTGAGCTATGCCTGCATTTACATATTGTGTGTATTTTGTTTGCTTCTTTTCTTATCTAACATCTTCCACTGAAACACTGCCTCCATTGGAGACTTGTTCACTGCTCTGTCCCCGGTGCCTAGAACAGTGCCTGGTCAGAGTAGTGTTTAGCCAATATTTATTGAACAAATAGATGAGTAATTCAGTCAATCAGGCAGGTAATCACTAACCGGCCTCTGCCTTTGAGGCACTGTGCATCTGTTAACCCTAGTTCCCAGGTAGGATTGCAATCTGTAGGTCAATGAAGGATATAGTGTAACATATAGCGCATTTTTTTCATTGCTTAACCAAAATAACTAAAATTATGCTGTTCTCTTAGCAATTGGTAGCTAGTTAGTCATTTGCTACCATGTAGAAGTGAAATCAAAGTCTTGATTGACCTTTGATGGAGAACAGAGTACACGATACCAAAATATGTCATTTTGGCATGTGTATTATTTTGGAGTGAAGGCAGTCAAGACCCAACAGATTCAAGAAAAACTTTTACCTCTCCCTTAACTACCTAAAGAATTTAGATAAGGGGCATGGCCCAGAAAGAGAACTATTACCAGAGGTAACTTTTCCTAAAAGTTAGGTGGCAAGGCAAACATCTAATTACAAAACACCTGCCCTTCATATTGTCCTGTGACTTACCTCGTCCCTCCTGATGCCCGAGGCCCCTATTCCATTCCTTAGCTCAGGATGGTCTGTAAGCCACAACCGCATCGCTTGCCTTTGAGTGTCCTGTTTTATGGGGCTCCCATACCTACATAATTAAATTTGTTTTTCTCCTATTAATCTGTCTCATCTTACTCTAATTAGGAGACCAGCCAGAAGAATCTAGAAGGGAAGAAGGGAAAATATTGCTTCCCCTACACCTTGATTTCACATTCAATGAAGATGTCAGAAATCTGAAAATGCATGCCACTGGCCTTAAAGGAAAGTGAAGGAATATGGGTGCATGGATCTCCATATCTGACCAATCTAATTGATCACTCATGATGCACCCCATGTGATTTTACACAACACTGTATTCTAGCATTTATCAATTCTACTCATAAGTTTGGTACCATACTTTCCTTCGAGTCTTTCTATCTCTGCCTCTTCCATCTCTCCATTGTTCTCTGTTCCTGCTGGCTCGTCCACTCTTGAAGGCTTCCAAATCTGAGCGGACTGGCCAGTCCTCCCTCTGCCCTTCTTAGGTGCCTTGATACTCACTAACTCCTCTGACCTGTCATCTCTCCCAGAATCTGGTAGCTTCTCTGGACACTCAACAGATATCTAAACTCTGCATATAAAATCATCAAAGCTATGAGATAATTAGCTTCCTAATTTCTACCCAAAACCCTTCCTATACCTTCCCCCAATACTCTGAGACCTTCAAGACAATAAAATAATATATGAAGGGTATGTTTGATTTGTAAAGAGTCATAATGCATTTTAAAAATTATATTAAAAAAAACCCACATTATTTTCTTTCTTGGTCTTGCTACCTTGAAACTTGGTAATGCAGAAGGGATTTTTACCAGGCAAGTTGTAGGCAAAGAAATATGTTGAATTATTATGTACACTGAATATCCTAAACCTGACTAAGATCTGGAATGCAGTCGAATCAGCATAACCCCATAGGGCCACCCAAGCTTTTGAAGGACCTAGAATAAAGCCAGCCCTGATTCCCCTCAGCGGAAAATCATCTATTCTTATACCAAACTCACACGTTAAATTAGATAGATTTTTTATGGCCTTTATCACATTATGCCTTGCATTGTGGTTAGGTATGCACTTATTTAGATTTTTTTCACTCTTGTGCTAGATTGTAAGCTACCTGGAATTCAAGTCTGTCTGTTTTAAATGGACCTTTTCTCTAAGGCATGTACAATGATGGCTGATATTAGTGGGAACTCAATAAATGTGGATCAAATAAGTAAATATTAACTGAAATCTTATTTCAAAAGAAATATTATTTACTTTTTAAAAGTTTTTGATAGAGTTCCACAGATAACTTAAAGAGAGTTATGCTTCCATGATGTTTGGATGGAGAGCAGAAAATTAGTTTGCTAAACAGACAAACTCTTCTACGGATACCTTTATCAGAGTCCCTAAGGATCAATCCAAGATTAATAAGTACAGTGAGGGGCAGCCGGCTGGCTCAGTCAGTAGAGCATGCGACTCTTGATCTTGAGGTTGTGAGTTTGAGCCCCAAATGGGGTGTAGAGATCACTTAAAAATAAAATCTTTTTAAAAATTAAAATAAATAAATTAATGATGTAAGTAAGTACAGTGAAACACCCATGTTTTTCTTCTCCCTTTCCCTGCCCACTCTCCCTCAGGATACTTCTCTTAACCACCTGGGCACCTGGTCAGTTTCACCACCATTCTGAGAAGAGCAGAGCCATGAAGCCAGAAACATACAAGGATGCTGTGCTGGAGCTTGGCTTCAACTGGGTACTGACCTGAGCCCTGGTTGTTCTACTCATAGAATCCTCAGCTCTCTCTTTCTTCTACAGGAGTACTTGTCTGCGCTTATTCCCCTTAGAGGGTCCTTGATCAGTCAAGAGGAGGAGGCAGCTCCATGTTTACATCAGATCACAAATTCCATGTCCCACCTCCAGCCCTACCCCAACCCACCCCTTTTCCAGACTTTAAAAGTTTCAGAAAATGACCGTGACTCAGTCTGGATCAAGAGCTGCCGACCAATCACCAAATTTAAACTTCAACCGAATGACGTGGTTGGTATGGCCAAACAGCAACTCCTCAAAGGAAGAGAAATGCTGTTTCCAGGGAAATGACTTCTTGACAGATAAAAACAGATGCCAACCTTCTCCGCATCTTGGAATTTGACTTCTAGCCCATTTGATTTACAGTACTTGTCAGCTCCTTCCCCCTGTCCAACAGAACTCCCAAACTTAGCTCCTCCCAGCTAAGCCAACAAGATGACACTGCACTCCAAAAGATACTGAAAGACAAAAACCAAGAGTTATAAACTGCAGCTATATACAAGGCTTCTTAAATGCAGGGAGTTTTGAATAGATGGACTACGTTAATATAATTAAAAAGTAATTTTTGATGCTATAAACATGAGCTCAGTATGCTGGTGGGTGGGGGGATAAGTGGGTGGGGGGATTGGAGGGTCCCACAAATGACAGGCATTACCAAAAAAGGATTGAGTGCAAATCACAAAACATCATATTTTGAAAAATTAACAATTACCAAGGGACAGGTTTTTGTGTAATGGATTTTGAGAGATGGATGGGGCTGACCTCAAAAGAGCCATAGCCCAAATAAAAAAAATGGGCACATAGACATACACATGGTATGCAAATTAAAAGTTATGGTAGAAAGATTAAAAGGACGATGGAAGTAGAGATATAAACAATTCTGCATGAGAAAGATGATCATCCTAAGAAAAAGTTTCTCAGAGCAGGTCATTTGAACTGGGCTTTGAAGGCTAGATAGGAGCATGCCAGGTTTGCTTCCATCTCAGCAACTAACGAAATCAAGAGGCTAGAGAAGCTGCTGTGGATATCAGACTTAAATATGAGGACTGTAGAGACAAGGAAGGGGGATTGAGAATACGATTCAAGTTCCTAAGAAATAAAGGCAGTAATAAGCAGGATAAAAGTGAACCTACTACATACTAAAATACTGGAAGAGGAGCACTCCTTCTGTTGGAAAAATAATCACTATAGAAGAATTAAGACCATTTAATTACCAAGAAGTCACTATTCTGCCAAATGCGACCTAGAACCACAAAATAAACAAATCAGCCTCCCGAAGACCACTGCAGCCCACCCCAGTCACATTTACTAATGCTTTTACTTTCCTATCAAGTGAAACCACTAGATCTGTTATATTTGATTTTAAATATAATCCTAATACCTATGCTTGGTTTCCCTACCCACAGCAAATTACAAATAACACATTTAGAAATGTCAGCAGAGTAGGAGCTTTGTGAAACAACAGCTTACATTCCAGCTCTCCTCCCAAAGAAGCAGACCCAATAATTTAAAAATTTAGCAGTGGGGCACCTTGCTGGCTCAGTTGGAAGAGCATGTCACTCTTGATTCCAGGGTTGTGAGTTCCAGCCCCACGTTGGAGGTGAAGATTACTAAAAAAAATAATAGTAATAAACTGTTTTTTAAATAAGGTATAAAGATAAATAAATAAAAATTAAAATCTTAACAGTAAGAGTTCATTTAAGAGCAAACAGCCCTATATGCAGTTTACTAAGCCACTGGAGGTGCGTTTGCCTTGCAGCCTTGCATAATCACTGGTATGCATAATGAAGGGCATGAGTCTCCCAGAACAGGTGCCAGCCTGGGCAATCTGCAAAGAATGACCAGGCAGGTGTTCAGAAGATTCCCCTCCAATATTGTTAATTACAAATTTCTACCACTTAAAGTAACCAGATTAAGAAGTTGGGTTTTTTTAAGATTTATTTATTTATTTGAGAGAGAGAGTATGGGGGAGGCGCAGAGGGAAAGGGAGAGAGTCTCAAGCCGACTCACAACAGGATGCAGGGCTTGATCTCAAGACCCTGAGATCATGACCTGAGCCAAAACCAAGAGTCGGATGCTTAACCTACTGTGCCACCCAGGCGCCCCTAAAAAGTTTTCTTAGACCCCTCTGGGCAGCCGTCTGTGCCCCCTCCCGAGTGGGCGGGGATAGCGCAGGGCCCTCGTGAGCCGGGAGCACAGCGCCCTCCTCCTACTCTCTGCTTGTCTCTCTCCATCAGCAGATCATAAATTATTGAAGCGAGATCATTTATATACATATGAAATTTACGGTCTGCTCCCAGTGCTAAATACAAATGCATTGGTATGTAATGGGTAGCCAAAAGAATTTTATATAATGAACAAGAGAAATGAAGTGATTGTAGCACTTTTAAAGAAGATTTATGTTAACAATGAAGGAACCTTTGGGGCGCCGGGGTGGCTCAGGCGTTAAGCGTCTGCCTTCCAGGGTCCTGGGATGGAGCCCCGCATCGGGCTCCCTGCTCCGCATCGCGGGGAGGCCTGCTTCTCGCGGGGGGGGGGGGGGGGGGGGGCCCTGCTTCTCCCTCTCCCACTCCCCCTGCTGGTGTTCCCTCTTAGGCTGTGTTTCTGTCAAATAAATAAATAAAATCTTTAAAAAAAAAAATGAAGGAACCTTTAACTACATGAACAATTCTCTTGCACTTACCAATGATAACTGAAATTGATTGATCATTTACTGGGTCAGGCACCGTTTCAAGCACTGAACATGTGTTAATTAATCTTCACCACAGTGCTGTGGAGCAGGTGCGATTATCCTCATTCTACTGATGGGGAAAGTAAGGCCAGAGATAGAGAGTGGTGGTGCCCATTCAGGCAGCTAGTAAGCCGCAGAGGCCGTCTGACTCCCAATCCCAGCCCCTGAACTACTCTGCTATATGCCTCCCATGCTATCTAATTCATAGCGGACCAAAAAAGAAATTTCTGCTGCTAGAGGTGACTAATAGCAAACTTGTAATCTCACCAAAAAAAAAAAAAAAAAAAAATCCTCCGTGTTTACCCATGCTTCTACCCTCCGCTTCTGTGAGTTGGACGTTTCTGGATTCCATATACAAGTGAGATCATAAAATATTTGTTTTCCTCTGTCTGACTTATTTCACTTAGCATAATATCCTCAAGGTCTATCCATGTTGTTGCAAATGGCAGGATTTCTTTTTTTTTAAGGCTAAGTGATATTCTATTGCATATATAGGT